CCACAAAGTAGAAAAAATGCAATCTCTTTTCATTAAAGTGTCTAAAAAGCTTGTATTTATTTTTCAAAGACAAAAATATCTTTAACAAACCTATAATTTCAATGAAAATTGTTTTAATTTCAATTAGTTATCTTGGATTACCACCTTAGTTCCCCCTTTAGGTAAATGTATTGTTCGAACGACACTAATTGACGACTCCACGTTGCTTGATTTCCCTGGGAAATCCCTTTTGGCCAAATGATGTTGCCGGTTATCGATTACGAGGGGCATGTTGTTATTGAGCTCGAGCTCTCTCTCACTCTCTTCTCATGTTAAATCTGCGCATTCATTAGCCCAAAAACAATGGGGGTCTCCTTTTAGCCCCTCTTTCATGAAGGGAGGGGGGGGGAGTTTTAACCCCCGAAGCACAGAGAGGGAGAGAAGGAGGGAGGGAGGGAGATGCATTCAATTCCAGAGACTACGTACGACGATGGGGATTCCCCGCCTGCATTTGCTGCAATTTCCCCATGGGCGTCCCATGTCTGTGTCTGCCTTTTCGCAACCCCTTTTTAATGCTGGCACAACCCCAAAGGCCCATCCCCTTACCATCCCTTCGTGCGCTTTTCACACCGCTTTCCCTTTGCTTTCCCCTTGCCTTTACCCATGCTTTCCCCATGCTTTCCACCCCACCTAGACAAACATTTGCAATTGAGCGTTGAAGCGTGGGACACCAACAGCCGCAGACGCCTCAGGTGGCAAACTCCGCCCGGAAAATGCGTGCACAATTAGAGATAGTTGCTATAGCATTTTCCACGGTTGGCAAAAATTGAAATATTTAATTAAATTTGACAAAGTGCAGCTACTGGGTTTTTACCCCTACTTTTCCCCCATAGCTAACTTTGCCGGGGAAAGTTCAGAGAATCAAAAGATTTGTAGGTGGAAAATGTAAGAATTTCCTTTGTTTTTTTTGAGGGGTAAAAGAAAGCAGATTGCTTCTTTAATTAATTTTTAAACTGCATAAATTTTATAAAATTCAACAGCAAAGATTTAGTTTAAAATTCAACTAAATCTGTGTAGTTTTTCCTTTGTTTAACAAACGCATCATTGGCTTCTATTTTTCTACACGTTTTTTTTATCCACTCACTGAACAAGCAAAACTTTCCCAAATCAATTAATTTAAATATGAAAAATACTTGCAGATGCGGAAAAAGTGTAAAAAAAAACTTTTCACTTTATTACCAATTTTTCAGTGGGGGAAAATAAATTCGAATTTCTAAATAATGTAAAAGTTTTGCTGTAAAATCAATTAAAATTCTGGCAATTCAGGTTGAGAGGCTGCTGATTAGGTTTTTTTTTTTTTTTGAGAAAAAAGGAAACCCTAACAAGTAATTTTCCAACTGGCCGGATGGTTTTTCTCGTTCCTTTTTTTCTAGTTCTAGTTCTTTTTGGGGGCTTTCCCGCAATCACAATAATTTGTGCCAATGACGTGCAATTATTTGCCAGGCAACTTAACCCACTGTGGGCCAAGTTTTGCCAAACGGTTAACCCCTTTCTACACTGGCGTGGCACGTACAAAGTTTGTCTGCCGCTGCTGCCGAATGTGAAATGCCGAAAGGGGGAAAACTGTTGGAAAAGTGGGTAGAGCGAAATGCAGGGAATGATTCATGGCCATTGCAATTTAGCTGCCAACTCGCGAAAAGTACCGGAAACGCATTCATTTTCCGCATTTTTCACATCAATAATGGACTCGTGCGGAAGAGGGACGAGGCTGAGGGAACTTGGACTTCGTCTTGGAGTTGGACTTGGTCTTTGGCGACTGCAGAGAGTCCTAATTAAGTTTGCAACATTTATGACTTGTTAGCCAAAAGACGCGAAACGCGAAAGTTTACGAGCCAAGTGGCTGCATTTTTCGGTTTCAGTTCAGTTAAGTTTTTTTTTTCTTTTATTGATTGGAATTCCTTTTTCTGGCTGGGATTATTCGTGGGATTTCCAGGGACACTCCCTCTCTTTTGAGAAACGAAGAAACTGAGCCAGCTAAGATGCCGTCCAATTCATTTCACGCTTCGTCTGTCACCGAAATGGCCTCCCAAGCAGGACACGACCTCCAAGGATGAGCGCCTTGTTGTTGTCCAGTAGAGGAGGTGGACTCCTCCTCCTGATTTTCCTACTTGTCCGGCTTTTCCTCCTATTCCTACTCCACTCGCCACTCCCCCCGGAACTGCACTCGTCTGTGAAATGATGACAGTTGCGGTTTCATTTATCTGCCGCTTATATCCTTTAGATTTATATGGTTGTTTCACGAAATACTCTTTCTTTAAAATGGGAGAGAATATAAGACAATGGATTAAAGGGGATTTTATATGTGAAAATTTGAAGATTTTCCCAAGTTTATATATTAAATATATTATACTAATAATATATTTTATTTTTATATATAAGATTCATTAATATTTGATATGATTAGTTGTAGATATTGCCAGGAAGAATTTAGTATACTTTTTATATTTTACATGTCTCAATTTTTATAAATTATATTTATTGAATTTTTATACCCGTTTGGGGTATTATAATTCCAGTCAAAAGCTTTCAATATAGTTAAGGAGTAATTTCCGACCCTATAAATCATATATATTCTTGATCAGCAACAACAGGCGAATCTTTTTAGCCATCTCCAAAAGAAAAATAAAATTTTAAAAATTTTTCAATTTTTGCAAAAATAGGATTATTAAAATTGTGAACATTTTAAATTTATATATGATAAATTTCCGATTCGATCCTATAACTCATTAGCAAACAGCAAAGGGTGTATTAACTACGACTTCCCTAAGTTACTTTCCCTTCTTGTAATATATTATATTTCTTATATATTAGTAAGATTATTATGTTTGAAAGAGTGTACCGTAGTAAAAATTCTTGGTATTCCAGCAGACTTTTTAAAATGATTTATATTTGATATTTGTAATAAAAGCCGAAGAATATTTTTATTATTACTATAGATTTACTTGTTTCTTCATTTCAATTATTTTTTATTATTTCAATGATTCAAACAAAATACAAATATTAATATAATAATATATTTAAGCTGGGTATAAATCACATTTATTATTTGCTTACAAAACATTTTCCACAACGGTTTAAAAAACATAGCCGTTAACAAGAAAATCATAAAGATTTGTTGCCTTTCCCTTTCTTTTAAATATCATAATGTTTATTATTTTAAGATTCAAAATATTATCCCTAAATTCACCCTAAAAATTTTCCAAAATTTATATTTATTAAACCTCTATAAAGAGTATTTCAAAAACACCTAAATTTTGTTCCCTAACAAAAACTGTTGTTTTATTTCACTTTTTTTATGATTTACGAGGGTGACGAAGCTGTCTCTCAGTGAGGCGGGAAAGCGGGAAAACGAAGAAATAAAAGTGATGGAAAGGGAAGAGGGAGAGAGTGAAAGGAGGGAGAAGGGAGAAATGAGACCGCATCTGTCGGCGACTTTTTTGGGTGGCAAATCAATTTGCTTATCTCGTTGCCACTGTGGCGGCCCTCAGACTGAGCACGACTTTGGCTCAAAATTCAGTTTTGAAAAAGCTGCAACTGTCGCCAGGCTTTCTCTTTGTCTCTGTTTTCTTCCCTCTCTCTCTCTCTTTCTCTCTCTCTTCCTCTCCCTCTCTCTGTCTAGTTTTCTCCCTTTCTCATCCACTGTGTCTTTGTTTTCCTGGCGATAAGGAAATTGTTCGACTGACCCTTCATTTGGATGCTGTTGCTGTTGCTCTACGCTCAACGCTCTATTCTATATGTATATATAGTATATATACTCACCGGAATATATAGGTACAGCCTTCTGTAGCTGCTGCCGTCCGATAAGCGGCTGCAATATGGTCCGACTGCACTGAAAGAAATAAATTAAATAAATGGTAAATTATAGAAAGTTCACTACAACTTTAAGCAACTTGAGATATATCAATCGGTATCAATCTTTTGTATTATTCAAATAAGTGTATATATTTATTTTTGTTAGATTTCTGTATAACTTAACTTAGTGAACTAAAATATATATAATTAAAAAATAATAAAATTCAAAAATAAGCGATTATTTTATACCCTAGCACGGTATTCTAATGCCAGTTTGAAGGTTGTAACTCGGCGAATGAATCATTTCCCTTCCTATAAACCATATATATTCTTGATCAGCATCAACAGACAAATCTTTCTAGCTTTCCCATTTAAAAAAAAAAGGAAAGGGGTTACAACATTAAAATTTGCAAAAATCGGCCAAAAATTTACATTTTAAATGGAGTATGGAGTTTTATTGACCTGCTAAAAATTAACATAAGAATGCTTTCCGAATTGAAATTAATGCCTTTTTTGGCTTAGTTATGAATTTCTTAAATTCCCATTTTTGCTAAAAAATTTAAAATTTTTAAAATGTAAATTAAAATGTTCAAAAATTGACAAAAATTTGCATTTTTAAACAGAGATGCAGATTTATTTAACTATTAAAAACAAACATTGGAATTCTCCCCGAATTGAAATTAATGCTTTTTTGGCTCAGTAATGAAATTTTTAAACTTTGATTTGTCGTCAAAAATTGTCATATAAAAATATAATAAATATACTATCCTATAATTCATTTGCACACTTCAAAAAAGGTTTAAATTTCGCCTTCCTAAAGTTAAAGTTTCTTACTTACTTGCTAGTTTATTATAATAATAATTTTTGCTCTTATTCTTGTTCTTATTATTCTTATTCCTATTAATCAGTAAGAATAACATACCATTTTGAATATATCTCCTTTTTTATAATCTTCTTTTAATTATATATTTGAAATTATTTTAATGAAGATGATGATGAATGATTTCTCTCCTCTCTCTTTCTTTTGCACTCCCTTCGTTTCGCTCAGTGTAGCCCCGAATGACCCCATCTTCCGCTCATATTTCAGGCTTGTGTTTATGCAGCTTAACACTTTGGTGCCCAAAGCTTCAGCTTCAACGCCGTCTCCTCCCCAGAGTTTAAAAAGGGAATCCGTTAAGCGGCTTACGCCGATGGCAGCAGTCGCAGTCGCATTCCCTGCCGCAAACTCTTGCCCAAGTTTATTAAACATAATTATAAAATATCATTTAAACAAAAAAAAATACACACACAGAAGAAGAAGGAAAAACAAAAGCCTAGAGACGGGTTAGAAAAGCAGTGAGAAGGAGCAGGCTGCCCAGTGTCCAGGTAGTAACCAATCCTGGGGCTCCATCTTTACCAGCAACCAGGGGCAAGGCACTCCTCCGCTGTGCCATGGCCTTGTCAATGGATGCCTGGCAGGAGGACTCTCGCCTCACGTATCGGAACATGGACTCCACAATATTGCTGGGTGTGATCACTTCACATCGTTCCAGCAATTGCACAGTGCAGGTCTCAAAGTCATAGAGTTCCACACATTGACGGGGTCCCAGCACCAATTCCGGCAACTTATCGCCATTGGTCCAATCGGGGGTCAACTCCTTGGGCAAATAGCCACCAAATGTGGCATTTAGACAATTGGCAATACCCTCACGACTCTGATCCAGGCACTCGGGTCCTTGCTCGGCAATAAATAGAGCAATCTGGTCACCATTCTTGTAGCAAATAAATTCCAGCAGACGATCGGCAATACGCTGAAGGACAGTATTATGAGCACGCTCCTCACTGTTCAGGCAAGGCAGCAAGGCATTATTGAAATCCTTGAGACAGGCCTTGGCCCGTGGCATCCTCAGGCAGTATTTCTCGAAAACCACATCCAAATCACCCTTGGGACTGGCCTCGGCAATCTCCGCTTGGATCTCCGTCATATTGGCCAGACCGGAGAGACATTCCACCAGTTTTCCTCCAGCCGTTTCAATGGCTTTACTCAGGGCAGTGGCATTCACTGGCTCCTTATTGGCCCGCCGACACTTGGACTCCAGCAGACGATGCAAATCATCCAAAGTGACATTGGTGTTACGCAATCCTTCTGGTAAATAGTTGGCTTTCAGCTGATCCACATCCACATTCTCCAGCACTGAGGCATCCAGCGTGGGCAACTCCACAGCCTGGCAGGCGAAGCCAAGCAGGAGAAGGATCAGAACTGCCAGGAGCGATAGATTCAATGGATGCATCTGGTTTGGCATTCTGAAAGCGACTGGCGGGAATGAAACCAACTTGGAGCGATCGAGAGCGAATGCGGAGCTTATCTTATCGGGAGCATGGAGGAAAGCGGAGGAGTCACTGGACGAGATTAGAGGAGGGCGACTCACAAAAGGCAATCTCCGGGTTTGTTTCGGTAATCGTTGTGGTAAACAGCCATCGGGTTATTCATCTATTCGTAAAGCACTGAGCAAAATAAGTAAAGAAATACAATACAAAAATTTGTAAAATATAAATAAAATATACTTGTTATATATTATATAAAAAATATTATATATACTATAAGTAATACAAGAATAGAATTATATTTCAAAGACAAAATTAACTCTCTCACAAAGTACCTTTAGTTGTTATTTAAAATAGTAAATTAAATACAAAATAAAGGAACAAATTTTTTATATATGTTACCCCTCCAAGATCTCTCCCCTTTTTTCTCCCCGTGTTTGAAATAAAAACAATTCCTTAACTGTATAAAATATAAATGACTGACCCTTGACATCTAGAAAATCACAGCAGCAGCAGCCCCAGCTGCACTCAAAGTTCTTCAATTAGTTCTACATTTGTACTTTTAATAGCAAGTCGTACAGTTTAGCATTTAAAATGCTATAATTTTTTTTATATATTAAATATATGACACACGGACCGGTATTTTTTTTTCGAGTGTGTGCAAATCCACCTGCACACACACACACTCTAATGCCCTGTAATTGTTACACATTCGATGGTTAATCAAAGTCTACGGGGCAGTCTGGCTGGAAATTAAACCCCAGTGGCTACTATATACACATATATATCAGATATATATATATATAAATATATATAGGAATGGGTATGGAATATAGTAAGGAAACAGCTGCCGGTGGAGGCGATAAGCCCGACAATCTCAATTGGGTTATTGATAATTACTTACGGGCTTACGGCGAGCACCGATGGGGTTTGTAATCCGGCAAATGATGAATTTAAGGCAATTGATTAGCATTCAATATATATGTATATATACATATGTTTCATTCCTAAACCGATTTGGGAAAATTGCATGAGATCAATATGAGAAGAGAGTGATAAGAAACTATCAATCTTTGAGGTTTTCCTTTAACTCTGATGTTGATTTTAATACTTAATGTCATTTATATATTTTCAATATTTAAGCATCAAAGTTCAGGATTTTTAATCGCTTTCCTTTTGAAAAACTCATTAAAAACTCATTATTGCCAACTCATTGAAAACAATCAATTAAGGCAAACAGTATGTAAATAAATGATTTGTTTTTTAGGGTAATTATTTCTAAAAAATACATATATTGATTCTACAAATGCAAGTGCTTTAATACAATAAACCTTAAGCCCCCTATTCTCAGGTTAACTTCATTGAATTATTAGGTATATATGGTGCTTTTAAAGTTAATTTAGTTAATGAATTTAATATCTAAAATGTCTCATTTTAATGTATTTCCATAATAAATGATTACACATTAAAGAAACACACTAAACTTTATAATTTAAAATCTATAAAGAATACTTAACTCTGTTTTCATACATTAAGCACTTTAAATAAAGATTGCTAGCATAATAAATACCTTGTACACCCAAATTAATTGTTTTAAAACTAAATCAAACTATACTAAATATTTCTCATAAAATATTCTAACTTTTTTTCAAAGATTTACCCTTAAAATCCTGCAAAAACTTCCTCCCAAAATCTCCGAAAATCTAGATTTCCCCCTCCTGTAACTTTAAATTAAGATTTCTAGCATAATTAATACCTTGAATACCCAAATTAATTACATTAAAAATAGATCAAACTTTACTATATATTTTTTATAAAATATACCAACTTCCATTCAAAGATTTCCCCTAAAAATCCTTCCAAAATTTCCCACCAAAATTTCCCAAAATCTAGATTTCCCCGTTCTGTAATTACCTGCCACTTTTGGGACCACTTTTATGAATTAATTCCTCGCTTAATAATCGTAGTATTCACTTAAGCTACTCCCATACTATGGAGGGCACACAACTAGCAACAAGCGGAGGGGAAATAAAAAGAAAAAAAAAACAATACCAATGTGCCACAAAAAACCGTAACAAAAACGCAAGCAAGAAAGTAACCATTTATCTTCGTTTGTTGCGGAAGTTGCAAGTGCAATAAACAACTTCGGAAGAGGGCAGACCATAGGGTGCAAATTTTCGGTTCAAAATAATACCAAAAATTGCAGTTAGGGGTAGGGGGGGGGGGGGGGAGAAGAGGGAGAAAACTTTGAGTAAAGAGAGAAGAGTGAAAAAGCGAGAAAAGTGGGGGAAATGGAAAATGGAAAATGTGGGGCCTTGGCGTATCCGTTGCAAATTGAAATGAAGCGCGTGGCAGGGATTCCTAAAAAATGAGAGCAATTAATTGCTGGCCTTCTTAGGGCGGGGTGTGTGGGCGTGTCTGGGGGCGAAAAGGCGGGGGAGGGCGGTGGCTGTTGAGGTGGGCGTGGCCATGGCACTAGTTGGCTGCAATTAGCTGCAAAAGCTGGCAAAGCGCAAGGTTTCTGCGTGTGTGTGAGGTTTCTTTTGCGGATTCTCTTATTAATTGGCTTTGATTTAAGGGTATAGTTTTGTTTAAAATAATTAAGGCATTTACTTAGTATATATTAAATATTAAATGATTAAATTTATTGTTTCTTTGAGAAGTTTACTTACATTCTATTAAGAAAACTCATCAGTATTCAAAAGTTTACTATCAAGACCACCATTCATATTCACCATATTCACCACATTCCTTTCTTTTTCTACTAATACTTAAAGTTAATAAAAAAAATATATATATATATATATATAATAATATATTTAATATTAAATAATTAAATTTATACTTCGTTTAAGAAGTTTACTTAGATTCAATTAAGGAAACTTATCAACAATCAAAAGTTAACTATTAAGACCACCAGTCATAGTCACCATATTCACCATTTTTCTTTCTTTTTCTATCAATACTTAAAGTTAATAAGTAATATATATTTATATAATAATATATTAAATATTAAATAATTTAATTTTATTGATTGTTTAAGAAGTCTTGTTTGATTCTACCTCATTAATAATCAAAGTTTACTATTAAGACCATCAATTCCTTCAATTCAATTCTTATATATAAATACCTAAAGATAGTAAATACCTTCATATAAAATATATCAATTAATTACAAAATTTCTCTGGAAATTTAAGTAAAATTCTTGCTAAGTAGAATCGGTAACAGGAATTTCGAATGACAGCTAAACGGAGGCCATTTTGCCAATGGCATTGCCATCGCTTCCGGTTTTGCCGTTTTCGTTTCCGCTTTGCATATTGTTTGCCCGGAATGCATTTAGGCACAAAACAGATAATTGCCATGACGTTTGATGAACACATATTATTATTGTTACGCACACATGCCGTATACGTTGTGTACTCATAAATGCAATTCCTGTTCATCCTCCCTCCTGCCTCGCTTTAAAGCAAATAATTCATTTCATAAGGAAGCAAGATTGCAGTTTGCAGATTGCAGATTGAGTTCTCTTCAGCATTAAATGCGCCCTTTTTGGGCTTGTGTTTGTGGGGCGTGGAACAAACTGCATCCTTGCAATGGTAACAAGGAAGCATCTCTGGTTTCGCAATTATCCAGGAACCACAAATGATGTGATGCCCTTTTGGCTCCCCGTTTTCAAAGGAATGCCCGGAAATATGAGACCCAAACTAATGAGGGGATGAGCTCAGAGTGAAGCCAAAGGTTCTATTAATTACAATCCAGAGAGTGGAAATCAAATTGCATTTGCCAGCGCCACAATATTCGCTCAATTTGCAAATTAAGTATACGCCTCGTGGCAAAGAACTCTAGATCCCAGTACTTAAAACTTTAAATCAGCGAGGAGGAGAGTGAGAGATCTGTACCCATTTTGACCAAGTTAAGCCAACATTTAACCCCAGAACTTAACTCCCGTTGTGCTGCCAGCTGCCAGGAGCACAATTAAATCGAGTGCAAACCGCAATACAAATGAGAAATGCACCCAAAATTTGCCAACAGGGGTCATCAGCTTCAAACTCTGTCTCTCTGTGCTCCATGGGCGGCAGTAAAGCAAAAAAATAGTGGCCAAAGAAATGCAATAACTAAAAACAAACCGCAAAACAAAACAACTTTTCTGCAGCCGCAGCAAACCGAAAAAGACAAAGCCAAAAAAATCAAACATAATGCCTGCCTTTCTCTATCCCTGATCTCATTTGGCTAAAGGCAGTGGTTTAGTCATTAAGAATTTACAAAATAATAAATAAACGAGAAGGGAAACTTACGTAGAAAAGACGAAAACTAAATACTCTTGCAAAAATTATGAAATTTTTTAGTGGTAAATTGACAATTACTAGGTCAAAAATACATTAATTGCAGTTTGGTAAGCATTTCTTTGCTGATTTTTACAAGGATAATAAATCTGCATATTAATTTTGCAAATTTTGCATTTTAAAATTGCAGAAATTGAATTTTTTTTACTTTTTTTGACAATTTTAACGATGTAACCCCTTTAAAAATATTCAAAAAATTGAGTAAAATTTTTGGTTATACTTTTTTCAATATTTTGTTAATATTAAGTTCAAATTTATTATGACAAATCGAAATATATAACATTTTTGGATATTATTTGCATTTTGGCCATAATACGAGCGAAGGAAAACCTTAAAAATGCGCATTTAAATTGAATTTTATTGATCACATTTTGGTGCATAAATCAAAGTTTAAAAAGTTATAACTCAGCCAAAAATGTATTAATTTTTATTCGGACAACGGTTTTGTGTTAGTTTTCTATTGGAAAATAAATCTTTTTCCTAAATATTATAATTAAAGAAAGAAATAAAGGTTTTATGTGTTTTTTACAAAATAGAAATATTTAAAAATGATAATTTTAATTGATATTTAAGTTATAAAAGTTATAACTCAGCCAAAAATGTATTAATTTTAATATGGAAAGCAGTTCTGGGTTAGTTTTTTAAGGGGAAATAAAACAATTTACTAAGTATAATAAATAAAAAACGAACTTAAAGTTGTATGTGTTTTTTTACAAAATAAAAATGTTTAAAATGAAGTATTTCTTGTTTTTGTTGAGTTCTAGTTATTTTTCTAATATTTGATTATGAATTAGTTCAGATTTTTAAGTGAAATCGGAATATATATGACAATCATAAGGGATTAAGCCATAATTTACTTAAAAAGACCCAAAATAACCCTACTTTAATCGATATTTATGAATATTTTTAAATACTAATATTTTTAGAAGAAACCAAAGCCTTAAATATAAACCCAAACCTCTGATCATTCTCAGAATTTAAAGTATGATCCTTTACTAGTTAGCTTCTGTAATGTTTAGCTTTAATTCTTAGCCTATATCCCCTCAACCGATTAACAAAAAAAATCCATGGATTAATCATTTATGTACCTGCCTGTAAATCCACCTTCAATTTCTTTGAATCCTGCTTAAAAAGTCGCCCATCCTGCTTCCCCCTGGCACCATGAGCATAAATCAATGCGTGAGAGGGTATCCTTTTCACCGTTCGCCTGCAGGTCCTTTTCGAGTCCTTTCTGCCTTTGTTGGTAATGCGAATTGCTTGACTGGCGCTTAGATAAAGTCAAATTATTCGAGCTCTGTGAGTGTGTGTGTGTGTGTTTTTCCCTTCTCCTTCCCTTGCTCTCCTCTGGTGTTTGTTTGTTTATTTGTTGGTTTTGTTTGTTTGTTTGCATTTCCTTGGGCGGAGTTTCCTTTACTTTTTTTTGGCTACCAACTCTTTGCCTCTCTTTTTTTTCGCACGCACACACTTCACTTCACTTCACTGAGGGTCCTGCGTCCTGGCTGCCATTTTGGTCCTCCTTCCTTCCTTCCCTGGTCTTTCTTGCATTCGAAAAAAAGATTGACTACTGACAGTCGCAGCGTTATTGTGGATGCTGGATGATATACACATATATCCTGAAAAGGGGGGGAAGGAGGCGGCCATGTGTCGATGATTTTTTACCAAACTCTTCACTTTGATTCCTTTTGAATTTCCGCAGGTCCGCATTCGCACAGCAGGCAGGACCCCCTATCCCTTATACCCTTTCCTTACCCCCTCTTTTTTTTACCTTGGAAAAATTCAATGAATTTGAGGAATATTTCTCAGCGTCGTTTCTTTGACAAACAAAAGGGGTAGCAGGGGGGAAACCCCACTCCTTTAGATGTTTGCATTGCAAATCCAAAAACTTGCTCCTTTTGGTCCATACCCTGTACTCTAAGGATATCCTAAAGATGATCTAAGCAATATGATATAGTCATCCGATCCGGCCCGTTTCGATATATATACGAGATATAAGTTATAATTTTTAATTGTATTCATTTCTCGATCGTTCCCATGGGAGCTATATGATATAGTAGTCCGATTTTCATAAAATTTAACACAAAATTGTAGAAAAATAAATAAATAATAAATAAATACTGGCTATATCTTAAATTTGATCAATTTCTGTTGAAAATGGAAAATGTTATAATATTTTTTGTAAAAATTTTCCGATCATTCCTATGGCAGCTATATAATATAGTCGTTCGATCCGCCCCGTTCCGACTTATATACGAGTGAGATTATATAAAAGACTAACTGCAAAGTTTCATTTCGATAGCTTCAAAACTGAGAGACTAGTTTGCGTAGAAACGGACAGATGGACAGAAGGACATAAGGACAGAAGAACAGAAGGACAGACGGACAGAAGGACAAACGGACATAAGGACAGAAGGACAGACGGACAGAACTACAGACGGACAGACGGAAAGACGAAAAGACGGAAAGACGGACAGACGGAAAGACGGACAGAAGGACAGAAGGACAGAAGGACAGACGGACAGACGGACAGAAGGACAGACGAACAGAAGGACAGACGGACGTGGTTAGTTCGTCTCGGCTGTTGATGCAGATCAAAAATATATATACTTTATAAGGTCGGAGGTGCCTCCTTCACAGCGTTGCAAACTTCTGACTGAAATTATAATACCCTGCAAGGGAATAAAAACCTTAGTAAAAATGTATTTCCAAATAGTTAAACCCCACAAAGCCTTTACTTAACTCTTCTAAATATTTTTCTATTTTATCTTAAATTCATTCAAATTACAGGGCATCATTAGGTCTGTTCGACAGCACCCTATTTGAAGGGGTTCCCCCCTTCTTTTTTTTTTGTAGCCACACGTGGTCGCTGAAATTGCACGGCAAAAAGCAGGGGAGCAAGGGAGCAAAGGAGCAAAGGAGCAGGAGAGCAGGGAAGCAGGAGTGAAAGGACGAAGGATGGTAGAGAGCCAAAAAGGTAGGACTCACATCCTCTGCGCTGTTTGCTCATGTAAATCGAGCACACCCATTCCCCTCCACTCCCCTTCCCCATCCCCTACCCACCTTTTTTGGTAGTGGGGAGGAGTTTATTAACGTTTGGTTTTGGGCGCCCGCCAACATTTTCGACTCGATGACGGCAAACATTTACATTTACATTTACATTTGCATACTGCTTGTTGTCATCGGTCGCTGGTCTCCGTTACGCGGCTTAGGTAACGGGATTTTGGGGGCTAACTTCCATGGAGGCCCCTCCCCCTTCCAGGATACTATGTAATGTGATTTTCGCCCCACTCTTAACTTTTTGCAATGTCCAATGTCAGTCTAAAGGATCTCTCAAGTTACTCTTTTGAAAAGTGTTTACTTGCAAGACTCAAGTTTGTAGGGGAAACAGTAATTAGATTTGCAAGGAGTCTATGAAATTAAGGGGTTATATAAACCCTTACAGTTTGATGATTTTCTAAGAGATCTCTTATTCCCGTTTTTGAAATTTGCACTAGAAGAAACAGTAATTAGATTTGCAAGGACTCTATAAATATAAGGGTTTATATAAACCCTTACTAAATCTACCTACTGTTTCCTCTATTAGAAATGTAAATAACAAGAACAAGATCTCTCAGAGATCTCTCAGAAAACCACAAAACTAATTTGAGGGATCTTATGTTTCTGTTTTTGAAATTTATAATAGAGAAAACAATAGTTAGAATCGGTCTTTGGTAAGAACTCTACGTACTTAAGGTTATATCAATCCTAACACTCTGATGGATCTAGAATGGATCAGTCATTACTCTTTCAAAATATATTATTTTCTTCAAGTTACAAGTTTGTAGAGAAAACAGTAATTAGATTCTTAAGAACTTTATATTATAAAACCTACGTATACATATATCACACCTTTAAGTTTTATGAATCTCTGCTGGAACTCATGTTTCTCTTGTAAAATGTATTCTCCTTTAATACTTAAAATAGTTAAGAAAACAATATTTAGATTCGTAAAAACTGTAAACACTTAAGATGTTATTTTAAACCTTTCATGTTGATGGATCTCTGAGGGAAGTCTTGTTTTGTTTAGAAATTTGTAGTAAAGAAAACAGTAGGTGGATTCGTTCTTTGGTAAGAACTCTACGTACTTAAGGTTATATTAATCCTAACACTTTGATGGATCTCTAATGGATTTGTTGTTACTCTTTGAAAATGAATTCTTATTTAAGGCTCAAGTAGGTAAGGGAAACAGTAATTAGACTCGGAAGGACGCTATGGTGAGGACTTTAGGTATATGTACATTAACCCTTTAGTTTTATAAATCTCTGATTAGAACTCATGTTTCTGTTTTAAAATGTATTATCTTTTAATACTTTAAATATTCAAGAAGACAATAATTAGATTCGTAAGGAATCTACACACTTAAGGTGTTATTTTAAACCTTTCGGTTTAATGGATCACTGAGGGTTGTCTTATATCTTCTTATTTTAAAAACATTACAGTTTTTCCCCTTCTAAGCTCAAGTTAGTTCATGATTAGTAGTAGTAATTAGCTTCCTAAGAACTATATTTACTTAAGCTTATATGAACCCTCAAAGATCCCTACAGTATCCCTTAAGCCCCTTAACCTAAAGCTTTTAAATTTTCTAAACCCCTTTAACTGATATTCATATCACAAAAGATCCAACCTTATAACTAACATATTTTATGGAAATTTTGAAATTTCTACAAAACCAATAGAATCAAGTAATCCTTGTTTAAATCGTTACAAACGAAACCAAAAACATTAACCTGTCAAGTAGCTCTATCCCAATAATTTCAGTTCATATTTGAGCCCCGAGCGAGTCGTATAATAATTCTGGCATTTCTAAACATTTGGAAAAAGTGTGTAAAAAAGTTTCAAAAGTTTTCTCTTCTTCGCTATAATCGATCTATATAAAAGTATTTTTTTGAAAATGGGTCAGTTCAAAATTATTTTCACAATTTTATTCGTGCTGCGTGTGTTGCCTTCATTGGATGCATATGGCTATCGCTCGGCCAAGTCCAATGACTGGGAGGCTTTGGCCAATATGTACGATGATGAGAGCAAATATTTCGGTGACTATGGACCCTTGGATGGAAGTGTATCGGAGAATGGTGCCGCCAGGGGAGGAAGTGGTGGTGTCGGTGTCAATGCCGGCGGTGGCGGTTGCGGTGGCTCCGATGCCGAAGCCTCGGATGATGGACCAGGAGTTTGCACCTCAAAACCCACCAAATGCAGTGTACCCTCTATGGGCCGCGGCGATGCCAAGTTGACTGCCACCGGGTTTGCACAGAAAGCGGCTCAGGAGGCTAAGGCGGCCAACGATGCACAGGTGCCGGCCGCCGAGGCTGCTTCCTTTCAGGCCAAATGCGAATTGGCCGGCAAGGCCATCGAGTCGGCCAAGGGTGCCGAAGCCGTCTTGGCCGGCAAACAGGAGCTGCTGGAACAGGCTCGTATTGAGCTAAACGATGCCGAAAAGGAGGCATTGCGGCTATCCTCATCGATGCGTTCCATGCAAGATAATGCCGATTTGGCCAACAATGCTGTCCAGGATATTCAGGCGGTGCTGGGACATGTCAAGAATGTCCTACACGAGGCGGCCAAAAATGTGGCCAGCCTGCAGTGTGTGGCCAAGGGTGCTTTACAGGAGCTAACCGAAAAGAATCAAATTTTAAAGGCGGCCAAATTTCGGGCTGGAAATCTTGGCCGTCAGTTGGCCGAGGCCAAGGCCGATTTTGATAAGACCAAGATGGCCGCCTACAAGGCCGTTTGTGCTGCCGTCGAGGCCAAGCAGAAGGCTCAAAGGGCCAGAAGGATGTCGTGGATGTATCTTGATGATTTAGTTGATTTCTTGTAAGTGGCGCCCCACACACAGTAAATGGCGCCAGCATGCATCTCTCTGAACGCAGTAGAAAACTCTGTTCCTGTTATTAATTGTTAAAAAAATCTATTGTTTTATGTTTCGGTTTAATAAGTTTCAAAATACATCCAAAGAGAGAGAGAGAGAGAGAGAGAGAGAGAGGTGCATGCGAAAATAGATGGTTTCTTTATTACCCTTTTTGGGAGGGTGGGTTTAAGATTTCCTTCAAGAGGAGAGTTGGTTGGGAAAACCTTATCACGGAACACTGGAGGAGCATATTATATTAAGAACACATATTATTAAAAATGCAATTAAATGCAATGTTTTGGAATAAGTTTGATCTAAGTAAGCCTTGATATGTGAGATGTCTCCTATTGTTCCATCAAACCAAAGACCTTATAGTAATAAGCTAGGTAACTCATTACCATTTTTTTGCCTTATAACTTTATATACATATGTATATTAGAGATATAAACAGTGTGATCTCTTATATGTATACATAAACCCAATATTGTTCAAGTATAAGTATGTTATATAGCCCAATCTTAAGAGATTCTCCTATTCTCGCCACCATTTTTTTGCCATATAACTTTAAATAAGTATATTAAAGATAAAAAAAACATTGACCTCTTAAATACATAAACCCATTATTTTTCCAGTATAAGAATATAGCCCGATCTGTAAAGATTCTCCCATTCTCCCCACCATTTTTTTGCCATATAACTTTATATATGTATATTAGAGATATAAAAACAATGACCTCTAATATATATAAACCCATTATTGTTCAGGTATAAGAATATAGCACGATCTCTAAAGATTCTCACACTCTTCCCACCTTTTTTGCCATATAACTTTATATATGTATATTAGAGATATAAAAACAATGACCTCTAATATATATAAACCCATTATTGTTCAGGTTCAGGTATCTCTAAAGATTCTCACACTCTTCCTACCTTTTTTGCCGTATAACCTTAAATAATAATATTAAAGATATAAAAACATTGATCTCTAATGAACATAAACCCATTATTGTTCAAGTGTAAGTATGTAACCCAAACTTAAAAAATTCTCCCATTGCTTGAATCAAACAAGCTTTCATAAACTCGCAACTCATTGAGTGAAAAAATACCCATCATATCTATAACTCAAACTTCTCTAATCACAAACAGTGAATGCCTCTCCTCTCTTCCCATATGATATCAAATAGCAAAACACATCTGTTTAAACTTGATTATTAACAACAATACAAAATACAGCAGCTGGAACAGAACCAGCACAGAAGATTGCCATCTCAAAAAACCAGATTTCGCCTCTGTTCAAGTCCACACTGTGACCCAATTAGCATTATCAATGCTTTAAACAATAGCAAAAACGTGATCAAAGGCAGCTTCAATAAAGCCGCATTGTTTCATTTATTATGGCATTCAGAGAGTATCCATTGAATTTCACTTGCCATAGGTGCCCTTCTTTTTCTTCTGACACTTGTTAATGGGTATGCAAGTGCCACTTGCATCCCTGGCAAAACCCTCATTGCAATAGCAACCATCGGGACAGCGTATATGCCGAACTAGACAAGGATCTCCAAGGGTGGCACACTCCGTTTGGCAACTGGGACCACATGGCAGGAACTTTTCATTTGCACCGCATGCACGTGGAGCTACAGAGATAGAGATGAAATCAAAACACAGGTTAGAAGGGGAAAAGTAACCCAAGAGTAGGAAGAGATTATTCGACACACTCACTAATGGGTATCTGAGCTGTGACAGCTGCCAGGCAGCAACATCCAATGAGCAGCAATAACACATAGTTCGTATAGCGAGACATTGTCAAAGTTAAAGCTTCGCGAAAGATTAAAAACAAACTGAAGTGATGAGCTCACAGACATGGGGGTTTTTATACCCGATCGAAAGATCACGAAACGGAGAGGGGAATCACTCACTCACTCACTCACAATCACGCTGCTCTTTACAAAAATATATGTTGGTGCCTTTATTTGATACAATTCTGTGGGGGGGAAAAACACTACGAAAAGCGTTCGGAGTGATATTGATGATGAATGAACCAGAAGCTGGATCAGGGAGAGCTACTCCGACGTCGTCGCTTATGACGCTTGCTGCTCTTCTTGGTGGGCGTACGCTGTCGTCGCTGTCTGCGCCGCTGGTCTGGATCTCGGCTGCTGGAGGGGCTTCTCGATCGGCTCCTGCGACTCGGCCTTGATATGCTTTTGCTTCTGCTCCTTCGAATGCTCCTGGACCTAGTTCTAGATCGGTTTCTGCTCCTGCTACGCCTACGCTTCTTGGGGCTCTTTCGCCGCTGCTGATGCTGCTGCTGCTGCTGATGCAACAATGATTCCTTCGAGGGCTTGCCCTTGGGTCGACGTCGTAGAGAGGAGGAGAATTCACGACTGGAAGCACTGCTAGAACGGCTTCGGCTGCGACTCCTACTCCGGCGGTGGGTCTTGCGGTGACGCGAACTTGTAGAAACTCGTGCGGATGTGGACACCAGCTGGACGTCATCGTCATCGGAAAGAAGGACGGCGGCAGCTTGCGTGGGACCTAGAGCAGGAGGAGGAGGAGGAGTAGGTACCGGGGGAGCTCGCACGGGTTTGCTGGTAAAGGTATTCGTGCTATCGTCATTCAGCAAATTGTACTTTTCCAAATCGAAGCCATCCTCATCATCGTCCTCGTCCTCATCTTCTTCATTGTCAGCCTTCAATGGTTCCGTGTTCTGTTTCTTCTCCAGCTTCTTTTGGCCATCTTCCTCATCATCGTCGTCTTCATCATCGTCATCGGGTCCAAAATAGGTAATAGGTATAGAGCGCACAGATTCGTTGGACTCATTGTCACTATCACCGGCAGCCGTAGGAGAAGCTCCTGCCACCGGCTCTGGGGCACTGGGCAATGCACTGCCCACAGTAGTAACTTCGCCTGGTTGGAAATAAATATAAAAGATATGTAGGATATATATAAAAGAGCATAGAGTAGACCCACCTTTTATCTGATTAAGAAAAGCCATGGCCTTGCGCTTTCTTTCCAGTTGCAACTGCTTCTCCCGAGATATCATTCCATTCAGCTTTTCTCGGGCTATCTGCGCTAGCTTGTCCTTTACGCGCTCTTCGGCTTTTGGGGAGGGAGAAGAATCATATATATTTCATGGAAATAAAAGAGTTTCCATATACCTACCTTGTCGCTGCTCTTTCTGCGGCGAGGAAGATGTGACAGAGCCCGCTTTTTGACCAGCAGTTCTGGCCAAAAGTTGAGTCTCCACCTGCTTTATTGCTCGCTGTACACTGTCAGGCATGCCGGGACGCGTATTCTCGGCTCCAGTAGCCTCCTCGTCGCTGGCCTCCTGCGGAAGAAGGGGTTGCAATGGGCCGTTCTCATCCCGGGCGCGTATGGAGAAACTTACAGGGGCTGCAAGGGAAAATATGTTATTAATTCAGAACGGAAATATAAGCTCCCTTCAGACATACCCTTTTCCAGAGCATTGCCAGCGGCTGCAGCTGCAGCTCCACCAAAACTTAGACCCTTTTTGGACATAAGTGCAGCAGCCACGGCGGCTGCTTTGCGGGTTTTCTCCTCCTTGGAGGCGGCATCTACATCGCCAGTCACCTTGTACAAATAATAAGCGTAAAACTCATTCTCTGGCAGCAGGAAACTAAACCGCTCCACACTCTTCGTGCGCAGAGTCTCCTCAAATTGGCGTCCATTCTTGATAACGTAGGTGGCCGTCTTGTCAATAATATGACGCAGACTCTCCTCCGGAACGGGAAAGGTAAGCACGGGCTCTGGCTGTTGTAGAAACAAAAACTTTAGTGGCAAGAACTCATCTTTGATTGTGGGGTTACCCACCTTTTGCGGCTCCTTTTGCTTGCTTTTGGCTAAAAGTTGCTGCTGCTGCTGCTCCTCCTCCTCTTCATCTTCGCTCTCTGAACTATAATTCTGAGCCAAGGCCAGAGCACTCGTGTTTTTGAGTAGCTCCACCTGCGGTGGCTCTCCAGTGTTTCCCTCGCTACCTGCCTCAGACTGTTCCTGCACTGTCGTTGTGGTCTCCTCCTCGTGGGTAAAGGTACTGCCATTGTATTGGAGCAACACGGGAGTGAATTCTCCGCCTTGGCTGTGACCATCGGACCTACAGCTTAGCGTGGGTGAGGCGGTGCCATTAGAGTGCTGGGAATTGCCGGGATTACTGCTCTCGTCTTCCAGCAAGACAGCTTGGAGAGGCACTCCCTTAATCTTGCTAATTAGCTGGGTGTAGGCGCAATTAGCCGATGGCTTGTACTTGATGGTGGGCACTGTAATAACCACTTGGCTATTGCCCCTCTTGCCCGTGGCACTATCCTCGCTGTGGGATTCACCCAACTGAGAGTCTGGCTGATCAGAATTTTGCTGCTGATCCAGGGGAGTCTCGGGAGCCGGTGCAAATTTAGCTGCTTTGATGGCAGCCAAAAGGTGACGATAGTAGGGCTGCAGATACCCTCCCTGGGTGAGGAAATCAAACTGCAAATTGTTAGCCTGCTTGGCCTTGATCAGGATCTCCATCTGGGCACCCTGGGTGGCAATGAAACGAGCCGTCTTCTCAATAATGGCATGCTGTTTCATGGTCTCTGGCTGCAGGAGGGAAATAATGTTGTTATTTGTATAGATATATCTCTGTGGAATCTTCCGGATACTCACCAACTGCATGCCCAGCGGAGGGGCCATCATCAGGGTGCGTGGCAGGACGAAGGGCAGCTCGCTCTCCTCGGAATTCGGTGAGAGTTGGGCCGGAGCCGTGGACGTGCTCGATGCCGCTGACTGGCCATCGTACTGGAAGCCAACCTGACTGTAACTGCCACCGGAGGTCTCCTGCTGCAACCGCTTGAGGTCCTCCTCTGAGGGATGCGCCAAAATAAGAGCAGAGAAATGAACAGAGAGAAGAGAGACTTTAGTATATTGCCTTAGCTAAACCGTTTACTAATTCGAATCAGAGCGAGAGAAACGTATTCGAGTTGATGGCGAACGAGAGAGAGAGAGAGAGGGAGACGCACACTCAGAGAGAAAGAGAGAGAGGGGTAGGGAGCTGGAACTGCAGTTGTGATCGATTCCTGTATACCCCTCTTCCGGTCTTTGGCTTACATATAGTTAATCTGGAATAAATGGTTAAATCTGTCAGGTTGTGAAGATTGCGTATTTACCTGCTCCTAGGCACTCTCTCTGCAAATATCGAGGGGGATGACTGACGATTGCATTATCGATGATTTCATTTGTGGTAATCGGTTATCGGTAATCGGTGGTTGGTTTTTGGATTTCATTTGGTTTTTTGTTTTTTTTTTTATTTTATTTTGATACGACAATAAGGTTTAAATTTGCATATATATATATATATATATATATAATTATATATATATATATACTTGGTCTTGATTGTTTCTTGATACCTTTCAGTAATTGTAATACAATACTTTGTAATTTAAGAAAGTCTCCGGATTTAAGGGGTGTCGATATCAGTGGATTATTGGATTATATTATGCATCCTATATAAATAGGGCACATTTATTGATAACTCAGCCATACAAATGATAATCATAATATACGATAACTTGAATATGACTGTATAAATTTATAATTTTGATAAAACTACTGTATTTATGTAATATTTCATTAGTTCTATAAAGATTGTTGATATATTTTATTGCTTGTCTTGACAATTGTTTCTAAAATGGATATTATAGATGATCTGAACATGTAAAAACTTTACAATATCACTAAAACTATGTTGTCAAAGTCGAGTTAATGCCAACTTTTAGTTAAAACCATACGTTTTTATTGGTTCCTCGTTAAACTACTAAATGTATTGTTAATAAAACATTGGTTAACGATACATTCAGTAGTTCTAAAAACCTATAAAAACTTATTTTCATTTAGTTCAAAATGGTTCTTCAAAATAGTGATATTGACTGAATTAATTCTTGATAATGACATGAAATTGGTTAGTTATTTAAGGTATTTTCCCTTAATGCCAAATCTCAATTTAAAACCTAAGTTTTTATAGGTTATTTTTTAAACTACTAAATGCATTGTTAATAAAACATTGGTTAACGATACAATCAGTAGTTCTAAGAAACTATAAAAGCTTATTTTCATTTATTTTAAGTAGTAACATTTAATATTTCTTTAAATTGTGATATTGTGTGATTAAATTTTTGATAATAACACGGAATTCTTTTCCCTTATACAAAGTAATTTTCTGGTATTTTATGATCTTAATATAGTGATATTGTGTGATTAAATTTTGGATAATAAAATAACATGAAATTGGTAACCTATTTAAGATATTTTCCCTGATACAAAGTTAATTTCTGGTATTATATGATCATAAAAAAGTGATTTTATTCCACTGAACCATCGACACTCCTTAAGAGGCAGACGCAAACCGGCTTGACCCGATCCCCCTGGCTGGTACACTCACCTTGACGCAGTCGCAGCTCCTCCTCGTTGTTGTAGAGGAACAGGTAACGCTCCTCCTCGCACAATTGCTCCGCGCGTTGCTCCTCGGCGCTGAGATATTCCAGACGGTTGCCATAGCCACCCGGTGGCGCCTCATGTGGCGTCAATTCACAGAGTGCACCACGCACATCATATCTGCGCATCGGATTTCGGATTCCGGGATTCGGATTTGGAGATGGTTTCGTGTGTGCCGAAATATATATTGTGAGAGCAAGCAGAGAAATATAAACAGAGAGGAGAGAAGGAGCATTATCAGGTGACTGAGAGTTTCAGGGCTCGGGCGGCGCGTCTTTCGGGGGGGAGGGCGGAAGACAAAACGGAGCGGGGGGCGCCCCCTTATATATTGCTTCACATTTCCCCCCCATCGCGCTCGCAATCACACACACAATATTCAAAATCATATAATCATAATATATAGTTATATATTATAGTATATAGTATATATATAAATGCATACGGTTCAGATTAGATTAGGTTTTAAGGCTAGAGAGAGATCGTTCATACATACCGCTCCGGTTGCTAAAAAGTTAATCGGTTTACATTTAAAATGGTCAAAGAATTACAGTTTCAAAATTGTATATATATGGATAGAGATTACAGTTTGAGAAGCACTGAAAAGAGCTGTTATTACAATGGTGTGTGTTGTGTGTGTGTGTAGGTGTGGGCGTTGTATGTGTAAATGTATATGAATGTGGTATATATGTGGATATCAAGTCCAGTTGTTCGTTCAAGTCCTCACCATGAGTACAGCTACGGTCAGAATGATAGCAGCTATGGTATGCGACTTGGAGTTTATCCCAGAAATTGTTTATTTTTTCCAGAATACTTCCAAAATTGCAATTTGCAAGCCACTCGTCATCCAGAACATTCCAAACCAATTCCAGTTAGCCATTCACTAGCATTCCACCCGCATCTGTACTTGGAGTAATCGAGGAGTTCGGTCCGGAGAACACACAGCTTTTTGGGGGGCACGTGTAATTGTAATTGTAATTGAAATTGTTGCTGTTGTAATTTGCATATGTGTGTGTTGATGTAATGTTCAACTGTAGTTTGTGGGATTTGTGGATGACGGTGGCAGTGTGCGGTACGGGATTATCGTATAATTAATGCTCGGGGCCAGCCCCAATTATTAACCTGTCTATCTTGAGATTTACATCGCCCATCCAGGGGATCAGCTGCTTGCCATGATCCATTTCGCGGGCCTTCTCATCATCGCGGAATATCTTGCAGGCGTATCCAAAGACGAGCAGCTCCAGCGGCGGTTGGCGTGCCTCCAGACTGGCCGCTGACGACGATGACGCTGCTGCTATGGTTCCATTGCTATGGCCAGCGGTTGCATGAATGGTGACGGTGGATCCAATTCCTCCAGTCTTACGGAGTATGCCGCCAACGCTGCCGCCGCCGGCGCTGCGCACATTGTAGGGCATCATTTTGGCCGTGTTAACAGGATCATATATATATATAGAATTTGGAGGAGTTCCCACTTAGAATCACTCTCCCTTTTTCTCTCTCTCTCGTTTCCCTCTTTTGGCCTTGCTCCCGCACTCGCTGCTGGCGGGCGTGCGGGCTTTGGGACTAGGACACGGAATCCCTCTCTCTTTCTCTCTGCCGCCTAAACATCCATCACTCACACTAGACGGATGCAAAATTTAGACTCTTTTAGGCCCAAATGATTGCATTTTAAGGCCGTAATTTGTCGGTTTATCTGTGGTATTATTTTGCGTGTGAAATAAATGCTTTGGCTTGCAGTGTGACCAGATTGAAGTTAGCTTCTTCTTCTCGGCCATTCACTGAGAATAGTTGATGTTAGGGAATGGCAAAAATCACGAAGGTATGAATGAGAATGGCAAGAAAGGCGGTTGAATTTAAATTTGAAACACATTTTATACATTATTTTTTAAAACCGAAAAATAACAATCCAAGTATGCCTTCGCATTTGAAACTGTGTAGATTGTCATTATGGTTCGGTAGCCAACAACATAATTTTAGTTTTCTCTCGGCCGCCGTCGCATTCAGACCTAAAATCGGTATTTATTATTTTCTGATTTCATTTTGTAAAAACATGTTTGTCCATATAAAGTATTGGACAAACTAATGGTGAGTTTTTTTCGGAATATATAAATTGTTACTTCTTTTTGGATATAAATTTATAATTCCTTAGAGCTTTTAGGAACTGACCCCTTTTTGGGGGTCATCGGCAGCAATCTGCCGTTGCCGGTTTGGGTTTAGGTGCGACGGCCGCCGGGGGAAATCCTCGTAAAACAAGCACCTACGTAAAAAATTAAAAAAAATAGGAAAATCCTAGCACTAAACATCGGAAGCGGTCCTAGTTATGTGGGTATTATATCTTATCCCTTTTGCTATTTTAATATTGGATGTTTCCGTTTCGTTTGCAGAGTTTCTCTTAAGGGGTCTCGCTGAAATGTCTCTAAACAATCTTTACAAAGGAGTTTGGAAACACAGAAGCAATCCCTAAATTGAAACATAACATCTACTAAAGGCCTGACACATTTTACAAAGGGATAAAGATGGAACAAGCAAGAAAATCTTCTTCAAAAATCAAAGAAAACCCTGATCAGACCTATAGGTAAGCAATTCTACACTTTTCCTACTCCATTTTCTAAGCATTTCCCCTTTATATTTTCAGAGTTTTCAACCGCTTTCGTTGTTTTCAAAGCTAGACTGTAAAATGTAAAAAAAAAGGAAAAAAGAACAAATAAAAGTACAAAAAAAAGAAACAAATACAAATATTTTAAAAATGTATTATTAGAACGTTATTCTTGTAACTCCCTAATCCTTGGCATTGGGATACTTAAGCGTTCGCAGCTTGGAATAGATAATGTCCCAATCAACATAGGCACCCACCAAATGCCTCTTATTGCCCGGTGCATCCTCATAAGCCGTCCGTCCATGCAACATTCGCAGATTATTAAACACGAAAACGTCGCCAGCTTGTGTCTTAAACTCCACTGCCTCCGAGTGGGCAAGCTCTAGGAACTTGTCATAGGCACGATACCAGGCCACAACCTGCTCCAATGGCACCGTAAATCGACTATCACGCTTGGTTGTATTCTGATTGATTCTGGCATAGCCCCCATCCACATCCAGGCATATCACCGGCGACCGCCAGATGCTGTGAAAGGGTCGCGTGGCATCACCATCGTGACCAATATCAAACCAATTGACAGGCACTGAGCGAAGGACATCAAAATCCTCGGGATGCTGGCGTCTCATCTCATTGGCCACATTGAAGCCATCGGTGAGGGTATTCGCACCGCCCGATGAAGCCGACTGGACGAGGGTGTGAAGGATATTAATCCCCGCTTTGTACTCATAATAAGGCATATCCGTGTGCAATGGCAGGGGTGTCATCAAATAGGCATAGTTTCCTGCATTCGGTTTGGACTTTACCTCAAAGACATCTCTGCAAAGTGAAGGGAAAGGTAATCAGAGGTGGTATCAGCTTGGTGCTATCGTAAGTACTTTCTGTAAGCTTCTAATCAAGAGCAAGGCACCTGGCTAGCTGGCCCGGGAATCAGAACACCAGTCCATTCTGGCTGTAATAATCATCCGATTGTGATAATATTCGATAGATTGCAGCCAGATAATGGTGATATATGTGCACAAGCGATTGGTGAGTGGAAGGGAGGAGCTCTCTTTGTTCTTACCCATAGGTGGTCCTCTTGATGTAGCCAATCCTTTCGGCCAAATGCTTTGCCACATTGATATCATCTGGCGCTCCCTTGAGTATAGCAAATCCCTGAATTGCCAATGCCTCCAGCCAGGCCTGCAGCACTGCATCTTGCTGAATGACATCCTGGTAGTTGAACTCCTTTCGCACAGCCTCAAACTGGGATTTGCCCCAGAGCTGCACTGGTGGCTTGTAGACCTCGTCCAGGTAGCGCTGTCTGGCCGCCTCACCGAAATCCCTTTCCCTCAGCCAAGCAATGTCAAAGGAACTCTTATGCTTGTCCTGCCAGACAACTTCCAATTGCTGCTGCTTCTGGTTATAGTCCACTTTGGCTACTTCTATATTTACAGGACCACGCTCCCAATTACTCTTCCTGGCCCTTGTGGAGGCATGGAAGCACTCCGAACACTGACAGTTGTCCCTTAGCCATACCTGTGGGTACTTGAGGGCCAAACCCTTGTCTTCTTGGACTTCTACATAGCCGGGAGCCAAGACACGAGCTGCCACTGTGCTCGCCTGCCTCCGGAGGTGGCCAATCAGGTGTCTACAGCTCAGCATTCCGGGTTCAACTGCCTTTTGGGATTGCGATTGATCAAAACTGAGAGCTGTTTGGAGATAAGCGAAGCTCTCGCCAGCTTATCTCTGCGGCTGCTGACCGTCGTTCTCCAGCGGCAAAGAGAGTACTTGCACCAGTGCTTGAGGCTGCTCCAGCCAGCATTCTCTTTGACTATCCATGGGAAAGCTTCGCCGGCCTTGACAGAGCGAGCACTCCAAATAGAGAGCATTGATGTTGACTTCTGGCTGGGTTTCCGAGGAATTTGCAGGCTCTTCCTTCTTGCTCTTTTTCTTTCGGTGTCGCTTCTTCTTGGTTTTTCCCACCTCTCTTCTGGCACTCTCTTCTCCTGTCTGGAGAGCAGCTGTCGGCGAGGCATCTTCTGCCACTTGGAGCTCCGTATTTACGCCCGGCATCAGAGGCAGGGAGCAACGACGGCACAGTGAGCGTTTCATAGCGGGAGCCCTGTCATTGGTTATTAGATATTTCAAGGATTAGGAACCACTGGAGGGTAGGGAGAACCCACTTACATGTGCGTTACCGCCTTGGTGCCCACATTGCGGCAGAGTTTGCCATAATAGGCGGCCAGTTTGTTTTGATGGCTTGCAGCCATTAAATGTGAGGCCTGGAACAGGAAATTCATGCGCGAGGAGACGTGTCGCTGGGCCAGCAGCTTCCGCTTGTTATCCTTGCCCATGGTTGCGTTAAATCTTAGTCAAAATGTGCAAATTTGCGAAATTCCGTTTTGTTAGTTTTCAAAAACACATGTATGTGCTGTAGTGTGACCGCAGGTGGAGCGCCAAAAAATACCAGTACTCGATAAAATATACTAAAAATTGTATCGGTAAATACACATAAACAAACCGAAATCTTGAAGATTTTGTGTAAATAAACAAATAGTAGTAAAAAGAATAACAATTTCCTATATACTAAGAAAATAAATTGAATAAATAATATTAAAAAGAAAAGAAAATATATGAAGTAACCACCCTTTTGGGCGAATGTCAAACTGCTGGCCCACGCATTGCAACTTCTTCCGCTTAACTATGGCTGGTCATACTACGATAGCCAGCTGTTTCCCGCGTTTTTAATTCGCAAATTGCAATTGGCGAAAGTGCAACGGAAAAGTTGAGAGAGACGGGGAAAACGCGAAGAAAGCGCACAATGCAACGTCGTTCGATTAGCTAGAACCCTTTGATCCGCTCTCACGGAAACCACACTATAACCAGGACAAACCGGGCTGCGCCCCAAAAAACCAAGAGAGACTTGTTTTGCGACTTCAAGAGCAGCTGCATCATGTTTGTCCAGGATCTGCGAAACGATTTCTACCGCCAGCTGGTTGGGAAGCGCATCCTAATTGTTGTGAATTATGACATTGATGCCATCTGTGCCAGTCGCATTCTACAGGTGTTGTTTAAATACGACCACATGCTCTACACGGTGGTGCCCATCATGGGCGTCACTGGACTGAAACGGGCCTATGGAGAGCATCAGGGCGATGTGAAATATGTGGTGCTGGTCAACTGTGGCGGCTGTGTTGATATTGTGGAGCTACTGCAGCCGGCGGAGGATGTAACCTTCTTCATTTGCGACTCACATCGTCCGCTGGACGTTTGCAATATCTACAGTGACCGTCAGGTTTGCATTTTGGGTGATCCAGCTCTCGAGGAGAATATACCCGGCTTTGAGACCATATTTTACGATTCGGATGGAGAGGAAGACGAGGATGAGGACGAAGAAGGCGATGGCAATGAGGGATCCTCCGATCGGGAGGAGAGAAACAATGACAGTGGCGCCGGGGAATCGGATTCAGAGGAGCAAGGTGAACGAAGACCGCCGCGTCACAAGCTTAGCCGCCTGGAGCGGCATGAGCAACGCATCCTAAAGCAACGAGCCCGCCGTCAATGGGAATCGGAGAGGGACAGAATCATGTTTGAATACACACAATTTAGCTACTACGGACGCTCCACTGCACTGATGATCTTTGAGTTGGCTTGGAAGCTATCCAAGGATAACATGGACCTGCTCTGGTGGGCCATTGTGGGCATCACCGAGCAGCTGCTACTGGGCAAGATCGAGAGCAGTGCTTATACGCTAGAACTGGAGCAGATCCAGTCGCACGTTTCGCGGCTAACAAACAAGACGAACGATCAGAATACAATGAGTGCCTCCAAGATAAGCTTTGAGAATGATCTACACTTGGTTCTGTACCGTCACTGGCCCGTCACGGAGTCCATGAGGTGAGCATTGACTTGGTAATGGCTCTAGAAGAGACTTAAGTTAATTAATTTTCCCTTGTAGATACTCCCGCTATGCCAGTTGCCAACTGAAACTCTGGACACTGCGCGGCGAGAAGAGGCTGCATGAACTCCTCCTGGAGATGGGTCTGCCCTTGGTCCATGCCCGTCAGACGTATGGAGCCATGGATTTGGTGCTACGCAAAGAGTTCTACTCGATGGTGGAACGTCTGGCGGAGAAATACGACATACCGGATATTGTCTATGGCACATTCACGCTGAGCTATGGCTACCGAAGCAGATATGCAGCAGCGGATTATGTTTACGCCCTGCTGGCCATCATGGAGTCGGTGAAGAAGCACAAGACCCCGGAGGATTGCTTTCTGGAAGCATCCGATGCTCTGAGTCGGCAGCATAAACAACTTCTGGCTGCTGGCATTGAGCAGGCGAAGCTCCTTCATGCCGCCGTCTTTAGGCAGGTGCAAAGTAGCCTGGAAGCTCGCCTGGTGCACTCTGCCGGATCCTTTTTCTACTACGTGCTGCAGGAGGAGCATGCCTTCTTCTCGTATCCATATGCTTTGGGACTGCTAGCCCGTTTCCTTTTGCGCGGTCACGTGGCCACGAGTAGGGCCAGACAAGCACCGGATTTGCCACTGATTGCCACATGTCCGCTGGACGCTGCCCAAGGGATGTGCCTGCTGGTCGGTATCGCTCCGGTTAGAGAGGATTCGCCGCGAAATTTCTTTGGCAAGGCCTTTGAGCAGGCGGCCCAGAAGAGTGGCGTCATGTTGCTGCAGGACTTTTTTGAGCCCGCAGTGGTGCAGCTGCGTCAGAGCGATCTTACTCGGTTTCTGGACGCCCTCACAGTGCTGCTGACATAACCCGAAGGCTGTCCTGCTTCCTGCTCCTTCCACATCCCCGCTCAATCACTTTTAGTTTTCGTAAGGCTAGCCAATAAGGACGAGAGACCTAATCTATATGTTTAACCTTAAGTTTTAAGCGAACTGTATTTATATATCATGAGATCCAATGTTTTAAATGACTTCAAAATAGCGCCAGGACATCAAGATTACTCCCATTATTTTTTTTACCCTGAAATTATGTGTTTATCTGACCTAGGAATAAATTGCGTAGATAATTAAAGTGTTCATCATGCTAAGTTGAGAGTTTTAAGTGTTGGGAAGGGAAGAGGATCCTTTAACAGGATTGACTTTACTTATGTGCTTTAGAACTTAACTTAAAGACAAATCACAAGACTCCTGAAACATCTTAGTCAACAAATGTCCTTTGTTAACTTTATAAAACTGAATTAATTAACAAACATCAGCTCTTGAGGGTTTCAGCTTTCGCCTTTTTGTGCTCTCCTGCTTCCAGGCTTTGGCTCAAAGGCTCCGCATTGATAATACGAGCTGATCCTAGGCAGGCTAGCTCATCATAAAAGACAGCATATTGTCCCGGTGTAATGGCTCGCAAGGGAGCATCCAGTTGGACCTCAAAGGTATTGTCAACAATCCGCAGGGTGCACATTACTAGAGGTTTTGTATGCTGAAACCGAAAGCGACAGCGTAGCGAAACGATGGCCAGCAGCCTTGCCTCAGAATCTGCACACAACCAATTTGGAGGATCAATGTGTATCCGTGTGCTGAGGAGTGCGGGATGATCGTGTCCCGCCGCCACATAAATGGTATTACTGGCTGCCTCCTTTTTGGCCACAAAGTACGGCTGCAGGAAGGAACTGAGTCGACAACGCTGACCCACGGTCCATTGATGGATGCCCTTGTGCTGGCCCACTGTTACGCCGCTGTCAATATCCACAAAGTCTCCACTCCGGGAGCTAATGTACTGCAGAGAACGTAAGGAATCCATTAAATCCATTTGTAGAAGAAGGAGGCTCTATCTCACCTCCCGTATAAACTCCTTAAAGTTCCGCTTGCCCACAAAACAGATGCCGGTGCTCTCTTTCTTCGTGGCCAGTCGCTGCAACCCAATCTTGGTGGCCAGCTCTTTGACGTGGCTCTTTGCCATATCCCCCAGCGGAAACATGGTGCGCTGCAGGGCTTCGCGTGGTATACCGGCCAGGAAGAACGTCTGATCCTTAAAGGTATCGGCGGGTATAAGCAGACGAGCGGCTTCCGTTGTGTCAGGTGCTCCAGCACGCTCCAGAAAGTTACCCAAACTATTGCGGGCATAGTGACCCGTGGCCACGGCATCGTAGCCCAGGTGCTCCAGGGCGTGCTTATGAAACAGATCGAATTTGATGTGCCGATTGCATAGAATGTCCGGATTTGGCGTTAATCCCTGCTGATAGTCATCCAGAAACTGGCTAAACACCGCTGTCCAGTATTCGCGGACGTAGTTCACCTGTCGCAGCTCCACGCCCAGTCGCCGGCACGCCCACTCGGCATCCTTGAGGTCCTCCTCACCGCTGCACCTTCCCGCCTCGTCCAGCTCATCCCAGTTGCGCATGAAGACGCCCAGGACATTGAGACCTCGCTCCCGCAACAGGTGGGCGGCCACGGCACTGTCCACGCCTCCCGACACGCCCACCACCACGTTGCGAATCATTAAATTTAATTTAATAAAAACTAAATGCGAATTGGAGGCAGATTTCTTGTTTGTTGTTGTTTTGCTTTTTCGGCAACGACAAACAGCTGATCGGCGGCAGAAGTGTGACTGTGCTGCAAACAATGCTGCCAGTTTATTTGTTTATTTTGAATTTAATTTTGATTATTGCAATTCTAAAAATTGAATAAATCTTGTTTATACAACAAGTAGATGGAATAATAATTACTTATCTCTTGGAGATATAAATTCTCTATCTATCTCTCTCTGGAGACTCCATTGTAATACTCATTCTCGGAGTAATAACGGAAACAGAGCGAGAGAGAGATGTGGTGAGCATTCGCTCTGGCACACCTGAACCGGAAGGTAAAGGCAGCCATTCAAAGTAAAATGAATTTAGCGGAAATCTATAATTGATGACCGAATGGCAACCTTGGTTGCAATAACAAACGGAAGTTCAATGGCCATTTTTTTGACCATTTATTAAATGTTATTTCCTGAAGAGCGCCCAAGGTTAAATTTTTTACTAGTTATAAAGTAAATGTTGCAGTATTTTTAGAACATTTTTAAAAGGTGAAATATTGCAAATATCCAAAATATAGTCATGGTCAAAAAGAGTCCAGCGAACTTGTTGAGTCGAAATTAGTAACTAGTTCATTATAATCTGTATAACCAAGGCTATCGGAAGAATTAAGATATCTTCAACAGATATATTAAGCCCCTAATTAAATTTTCAACGAAAAATGACTAAAATTACAATTAAGAAATTGAAAACAATAGACACACAACCCTAATATACAAATAAATTTAAAAATGCTCCATTTGTTTTGTTTTTCAAATTTCTCCCTCTATCTTATAGCCCAATTTATGGTCACACTTTCTGTATTTGTTTTTGTAACAAACACAGTGTTGCCTGTCCGAATAAGCTAGATTTGAATAAAATCGAATGATTTAATGTGTGTTATTTGTTATTTTCACATTAAAAACGTAACCATTGGGAACAATAAGCTTGATATATAATTTTTTTCCAATGCCACGGCTGCAATTATTGCCAGAACATACAAGAGGAATATTAAAATAAGCTATTTTTTAGGCCAGAAGCTAGTTGCAAGTTTTATAGCATTTTTCCTTTTTCAAAAATGCCATATCTGGCCAAAAATCAGCTAAGCTGGCCACACTGCCGTATGCTTTTAAGTCCCGTTATTCCCTTTTGCGCTTGCTTTTGGCTTTTGAACGTCGGTCGGTTCGGTTCGCCGCAGAGGAATCTTTAAAGTGAATACACGTGCAATCACGTCCGTTTCATCCCGCTCAGTGTGCGTATATTACGACCAAGCAAGCTGCGAATTAGCAAGTAAGCCAAGTTAAAGAGATTCTAACTTCTAATTTTTTTTTCGAGTGAAGTGTTTGATGGAATTTGTGCGCCGCTTTCTGAGTGCGTGCCTTGTGTGTGTTTTGGTTTTGGTCTTTGCCAATGTGTGTGTGTGTGTGTGAGTGTGTGTTGATGTGTGTGTGCGATGCCACACATTAAGGAGTGCAAGAGAGAGCGAAAGGGAAGAACGCGCCGAAATAGCGGCAAATTGCGGCATTCTGCAACTCGAAAGAATTTCAAGAAAATTAAGAAAAGAAGTAAACTTTCGGTGTCTGTTTTATATTTGTGTCCCCTTTTTGAGGAGGCTTGATTTTTTTTGTTGAAAGCCCGCCGTTTTTAGCTTTCCTTGGTGAAAAAAAAACATTCGATCTGGCGCAGATCTCTGCGCTTTTCTTAGGAAAAGCTCGTAGAAACTCATGCACAACGTACATTTTTTTGTTACATTCTCTTGTTTTAGGCAGTTTTGTGGTACGAGCTTTAAAAATAAGTGGAAAATTACTTTTCTCTGTATTTTTTATATTAATTTTGAAGCATTTGTGATTAGTGTATGAATGTGTGTGTGAATTGGTTGCAGGAGCAAGCGAAAGGGAAGATAGAAAATAATGAAGAAACCGTCAAGTAAAAAGAAGCGAAAAAATGAAGACATTTTGTCGCGTTCATTTTTGGCTCCTCTGTGTCTGCTTCTGTGCCTTGTTTATTTTCGTCTCCTCGGTGTCTACGTTTTGCCTGTTTCTGTGTCGTCATTTTCCGGTAAATTTACCTGCGATCTAGCATAGATTACAGCGCTTTTTTTTGGGGAACTTCTTTTGAAAATGGTATTTTCAAAACAAATGTTAAAATATTGAAGTAAATATTTGTCATATTTAAAAAAATAATAGCAGCGACAATTATTAATCCACATGTAAGTGTGTATGTTCAAATGTTGGAAATTTGTACAAGTGTGTGTGTTGCCACAAACTTTGAAAAAATTCAGGAGCGAGCGAAAGGGAAGTACCAGGCGACAAAACTGCAAAGTTGCGACCTAATAAAGCTACAAAACACAAATGAAAGAAAAAGAAATGAAAGAATCATGTGTGAGCGAGATGCCTCTATGTTAAACTTCAAAATTCGAAGAAAATGACGGAAAACAAATATCGTTTCCACCTTTCACTCTTTTTGGAGTCACTTGGTGACAGCTTCTGGAAGAGAGAACATCGAATCGGAGGACTTGTTCGTTTTTTTTTTTTTTTTTTTTTTGTGAATTATTTCTATTATTATTTTTGAATTAATTAAGTTAATATCGTGTTTAAAGATATTTAACAAAATGGCTGGAGCTCCACATGGACCACTTGAACCTTATTTGGCTAATCTAAATGAGATGTAAGCAATTCTAACCCCTTTTTTTTTATTGAATTTTAAATAAAAACCTGCTTGGATATGTAAGTAATAATAATAATCTCAAATTGGAAAACAATTACGTGCATGAATTTTAAAAATATTATTTTCTGTGAAGATGTGTCTTTTTTTTAAATTTCCTTTTGGTTTTGTGAAAGTGTTGGTTTCTTTTTTCTTCTTTTTGTGAGTGTGTGTGTGTGCGAATATGAATGTTGTGGCGAACGAGATGGAAGTAGTAGTTGTTGAAATGAAAGCAACAAATTTCGTCTCTGCTTTACACTTGCTTTGGCGACATTTTTTGACAGTTTCTAAACTAAATGACAGGGACAAGTATCGTTTCCGCCTTACACCTTTCTCGCCTTCACTTGGTGACAGCTTTTGGAAGAGAAAACATCGAATCGGAGAACCAGGTGTTTTTTTTTTGTGAATAATTTTTAGTTCTTCAAGTAATTAAGTTAAAATCGTGTTTGAAGATTTTTAACATAATGGATGGAGCTCCACATGGACCACTTGAACCCAATTTGGCAAATGAGATGTAAGCAATTCTAACTTATTTTGTTTGAATTGAACATAAAGTACATATGTTTTTTTAAATAAAAGTTTCTGCTTTCATATGTAAGTAATAATAATAATCTCAGATCGGAAAATAATTACGTGCATGAATTTTTGTAAAATATTAGTTAATTTGCTTTTGGTTATGTGAAAGTGTTGGTTTTTTTTTCTTCTCTTCGTGAGTGTGTGTGTGTGTGGAAATATGAATGTTGTGCAGAGCGAGATAGCAGTAGTAGTTGTTTAAAGGAAAGCAACAAATTTCGTCTCCGCTTTACACTTGCTTTGGCGACATTTTTTGACAGCTTTTTGACAGCAACAAATATCGTTTCCACTTTACACCTTTCTCGCCTTCACTTGGTGACAGCTTCTGGAAGGGAAAACATCGAAATCGAGGACTTGGTGCTTTTTTTGTGTGAATAATTTTGAATTCTTGAAGTAATTAAAGTTAAAATATTATTTTAAAGAAAGTTAACGAAACGGGAACCCCACACGGACAACTTGAACATTTTTTGGAAAATCTAAAGAAGTAAGAAAGTTGGTTTTTCAAATTTTGAGTGTGCAAGTTTTTTTTTTTTTCGTGCGCGTGTGTGTGTCTGTGTGTGTGCGAATATGAGTGATATGCCGAAGGAGATAGAAGTATGTAAGCATTCTTCTTCTTCTTTTATAGTTTTGATTCCATTTTGTTTCTGTTCTTCTAGAAAGTGTTTCCATGTCTTAAAAGCAGGTGGCAACGCCACGTTCACTTCACTTAACTTTATTGCGGGTGATGAAAATATAAACTAACAAATTAGCATATATATTAAAATAATGACAGTTCTTTTAATTGAAACATTTTGGAAGCATTTCAATTCTACTACAACTTGAATATAAATATTTCATTAATTAAAAACAATGAAAACTAATTTCGGGAGGACAAAGCATATACCCTTGCAGTTTGCATTTGAATTATAGAATCACATTTGAAATCGATTACAACAAAGATTAAAATATACACATTATTTTCATCGATACTTATGAATATTTTTAAATGACAATGTTTACAAATCTAGATTTTAAAAACTCATAACTAAGCCAAAAAGGCATCAATTTTAATTCGGAAAGCTGACCCATGTTAGTTTTGAATAGGTTAATAAATCTGCTTACTCAATTTAAAATTTTTCAAAATTAAAATTTTTATGATTTTTTTTTGACAATTTTATCGATTAAACCCTTTAAAAAATTTGAAAAAAATAAAAAAAAATTTTTTCTGCCTGAGATGGCTAGATTGAATCGGCTTTCAATGCTGATCAAGAATATATATGATTTATAGGGTCGGAAATGACTCCTTCACTTAGTTTTAAGCTTCGGACTAAAGGTGAAAAACCATTTTTTAATCGATATTAACTATATTTTTATATGAGAATTTCACCGACAAATTATAGTTTAAAAAACTCATAACTAGGCCAAAAATGCATTTATTTTAGTTCCGAAAGCTGTTCTGTGCTAGTTTTCATCTAGTTAAAAAATCTGCATACTCAACTTAAAGTTTAAGAAGACTAAAATTTTTATCAATTTTTCAAAATTTAATTTTCATAATTTTAACCCTTAGAAAATTGTGAAAATTTTGAAACAATTAAATCTTTCTCGGAGATAGTTAAAGCGATTCAGCTTTTCATGCTGATCAAGAATATATATGATTTATAGGGTCGGAAATGATTCCTTCACAACGTTTTAAGCTTCTGATTACAACTAAAATATACTAAAAGGATATAAAAACCCTGCCTTAATAAGTAACTTTTTCGTATTCAAATAATCTTTTTATTCCAAAATAACGATTGCAGCCACATTTTTTTGGCTAAACTATAAACACAATTTCATAAATTCTGATTAAAAAAGTTAAACTTAAGCTGGCAGAGAGAGACGCGCCACGCCGTTGGATTAAAAGTTGTTTAATTGGCTTTGAGCGGATTAAGCGACTTGTTATTTACCAGAACGCAGCGGAACTTTGCCAACTAAAATTGAGGGAATTAGCGTTGAGGGGTGAAAACACTTGAACAATTTTCAGACAGCACTAAAACCATTTAGGAGAAAATGTGATTCAAATAAAATGTGACATTCTTAGCGGTATTTAACTTAAGGGTAGATTTCAAAATCTATATAATTCGAAAGTGAATAATTGGATTGGAGAACAGATTAATCTGTAACCAGTTTATGGTTATTTATCCTTTATGTTTTATATACACATTTTTTCCCCCGCTATATTTCGCGTTTTTCTCTACCATTTTCCAATTCGCCCTGTGGCCATGCATATTCAGATATTCAAATTTAATCAAACTCAAATGTCAGGGGCGATATTTCAACGGGAATTACGACCACTGACAGTTCGAAACAGAAGAGAGAACCCGTAGTAAAAGCCCCCAAAATGCAAATATGGAATATATTGGCATGATGCTGGCGATCTGTGTGTGTGTGTGTAAAGAATTCTGGTCAAAATCGGCGGAAATGGAGATAAATCGTATATAGCTTTGGGGCAACACGCAGCCACATATGAAATATTGACACGACCACGCCCTCCACGGGGGAAGGAGGGAGTTGCCTTTGGTCAATTACGGGAGTGTGGCGAGTTTTATTAAATTAAAAAATCTCGCTGTTCTATAGAGAGTCTCTTGCCACATGTCGATGGCTCTGATGTCCTTCTGGTCCTGGCAATAATAAAAAAAAAAACGAAGGACAGAGTCAGGCAATTATCCCGCTTCAAAGCGGACGAGGGAACAAAAAATAGAAGGAAATTATTGTACAAAAAAAGAAGAGGAGGAGGGTGAGCAAAGCAGCTAATTAAAAATTATACCAAATACAATCAGCGAACTGCGAGAGAAAGAGAGAGCGAGAGGAAGAAGAGGGTCAAATCTTGTTGCGTTAATTGCAGGGCCAAAACGATGGCACTTTGAGCCAAAGTCAGAGTCAGGAAATGAAGCTGTGAGAGCCGTGAGTCGCGACAAGGAAAATGTCAGGAGAAGCATAATTAATAATGACAACAATAATAGAAATAATAATAATAATTATAATAATAATCTGTA